ATTGTTATTTTGCTTCACTTCAATAAATAAGCTCTTATTTTATTTATTTATTTATTTATTGTATTTATACCCCACCTATCTAGTCATTTTGACCACTCTAGGCGTTTTTGTTCACAAGACAAGTGTTCTGACATACATCATTTATATTGTGGATTGAAGTAATCCACTGGTGGCAGCAAGAAGAAAACACGACATGAGCTTTTGTGAGGGAAAACAAGCAGGGGCCATGAGGGTAAATGTCACAGTTGGCAATGGGGAGAGAGATGAACACTTTGCCATATTATCCAAGTTGACCTGTCCCATTGCAATTACTTTCCTCAGAACTCATGTTGTGGGTTTATTACACGCATTATTGAGCTCCTAAAAGAGCCCAAGCTCCATTCTAATTTTGGCTCTAAGGTGAAGAAGTGGGTGACCTGCTAGAGTCTCAGGGAAGACTTAGTAGCGGGGCCTCTAAACTTAGATTTTAGGGAAGTCCTTGAAGAGGAAAAGTACCTACTCAAAATAAAATATTTACCTCAGGATTTATAGGACAAAAGAGCCTAACTCAGAAGATCCAGTCTGACAGAAAAGACAATCACAGATGGAGTAGAAGCTTTAAGTCTGAATAAATCTGAGGAAGTTTTGAAAAGGTAAGATCAGTATAGATCTGAAGGAGTTTTGAAAAGCCTGAAGTGAAGTAGTAGTTATGTAGAATTGTTTTGTGTCTGGAGGCAAGAGATTGTCTCAGACCAAGAAATATAGTGAACTGTGTGGTGCCAGATAAAGTGTAGCCATCCATAACTGCTGAGTGAGAGCTACATAGTATGCCGGAAAAATATTGGAAAAAGAAAACAGAAGTAAAAGTGTTTTTAAAAGAGGCCTGACTAACTCAGCAATAGAAATCAGTTCCTTTTATTATGAAAGTACATACTTACGCCACCCAAAATAACTAAAAAGCCAGTAATGGAGGAAATCGATCCTCAAGAGGTTGAGGGAAATGGGAATGGAAATGGAGACCCTCCAATACCTGAGGAACCCTCAAGGAAAATTATTTAAAATTCCTAGATCTGGAGAAATGGAAACTAGAACAGGAGTATAGACTCAGAGAAAAAGCCATGGAATTAGAAATTAGAGAAAAAGCCAGAGCTGAAGAGAAAGCTGAGGAACTAGAGCTCAAGGAGAAGGCTAAGGCCGGACAAATGGAATTAAGAGAAAGGTAGCTGGAATTAAGGCAAAGAGAAAAGAAAATGGATTCTGAGCAAGAAAATAGACAAAGGGAAATGGAATTTCAAATACAGATAAAAAAATTAGAATTAGCTGCTCAAAACAACAACAACAACTCTAGTGAAGGAAATCTCTCAAAGATCAATCTAAAGAAATTCCCCCAATATAGGAAAGGAGATTGCCCTGAATCTTTCCTAATATCATTTGAGAGAACATGCTGGGACTTTGAGATTAAGGATGATGAAACGATGATAGTTTTGAGATCACAAATAAGTGGAGATTTAGCTGAGCTTCATTCTCAGATGCCTCTGGAGCAAGCTAGAGATTTTGAGTCATATAGAAAAATAGTATATTCTAGATTTGGCATAAATGCAGAACACCTTAGAAAAAAATTTCATTTCCTTACCAAAAAGCCTGAAGAATCTTATGCTCAAGTGGGGGTGAAATTGACTTAATGTTTGGACAAATGGATGGAACATGAAAATGTCACTTCTCTAGACCTGTTTGTTTGTTTGTATCTCGCCCATCTGGTATATTCTACCACTAAAAATGTGGTTGGTTTAGAACAATTTTATTCAGTGTTGCCAGGAAAATTGCATTATCTGGTCAAGGACAAAAAACCTAAAAATGTATTACAGGCATCTGAATTTGCTGATTCCATTAGTGAGATTAGAGATCCTCGATTATCTGAGGTAAAAATTGGTGGGAAAGTGTGGGACGACAGGAGGAGAGGACCCCCCACCAGGAAGAGATTACCTCAGAAGTACCCAAGCTGCTGGAAGCCATTTTAGAGACAGACCCTCATCTACAGAGCACAGTCATCTGAAACCTAATAGCTCTGAGGGAAAGGTTAATATGGCCCTTTGTTTTGAACCCAATGCCAGTAAACGGTGTTATGTGTGTGGGGAGAAAAGTTTTTTTGGGCTCAGTGTGAGATTCAAAAGACTAGGGATTGTAATCACATAAAGGTGGAGATTCTAGTCCCCCTAAGAAGGTGTTTTGTGTACAGCATAATAAAACAACTAATGTGACAGTTGAAGCTAGCCGTGGAGCTGTTGCCATAGCAACACAATTTGAGAGCCAAGATCTCCCTGAGGCCAGGATTGTTCAGTGCTTTCTGATAGAATGAAATCAGAATCTTCTATGTAGCTCAGGAGATGTTATCAATGTTAATAATAACTATATAACACTCAGCTCAGGAGATGTTATCTATGTTAATAATAACTATATAACACTCAAAGATTCTTCTTCACAAGTTACAGTATGTCACCCTAATATAGTCCCTGAGAAAAATATGTTAGACCATGAAAATATTTCTGTTAAAGGGATTGGTTCTGAAATACCAAAATACCAATGAGATATAAGGGATGGTCAGGAGTTTGGAAGGTGGCCATATCCAATCAAATTCCTGCCCCATGTTTAATAGGTCTGGATTTAGCTGAGAATGTGCAGTGTTTTTGTGACAACTTGCTCTCAGGGAAGGCAAATTGAAGCCACTGAGGGAAATGATGGGGATATTCCTGAAATAAGAGAAGACAGCAGATCTGATTGTTCTGAGAAACCCTAAGACTCTATCTTTCATCAAAGAACAAAAGGAAGACCCTACTTTAAATGAATGTTTTGCACAAGTTAAGGAAATTCCTCTAACCCCTAAAAACCCTGAACTATGTCCCAGTCTAGAGGAAAACCCTGAGATAGTAGAAATGGCTGAGGTGGTCATATCGAAAAATTCTAATAATACTTCCTTTATTTTAGAACAGAAGGAAGATACCACCCTGATTCCGTGTTCAGAGAAAGCCAAAGAATTTCCCTTCCCATTATCCCCTGAACACCCAGAGAAGTTCATAGTTGATTAACACCTGTTATATAGGGAAGTTTTATTAACACCTCATAGGAGTGGAGATGGACATCTCAAACAGCTAATTGTCCTTGTAAAATATAGGGAGAAGTCCTTAGAAGTAACAGAGCCAAGCTTGGGGGTGAGTGGGTACTCATGCAAAGGAGAAAGGCTTGTATGAGGCCCAGGAAAGAGCATTCTGTCCTGAGGACAAAGTGGTGAGGCTGAGAACCATAGAGGGGAGTGAATTGCAGTTAGGAGGGTCAGAACCTGTGGATTTGTTGCAGCAGAACTGGAGGGTTGATGAGTCTAGTTGCTCTGCAACTGCAAAAGCACTTAAAACCTTGCAATGCAAACCCCCACCTAAGAAACCAAATATTAAAGATAAAGAAACAGATGATTAAAATCTCAGTGCATCTTAAATAAACCAAGTGTTTGATGTTACACTTAAAAGAAACATACCTGTGAATTTGGAGGTGACCCATGATATATGATTTAGGACATAACTGGTAAGCATATTATTATGATGGTGTTTTGTATGTAATGTTCCCTGTATGTTCTGTTGTTCATAAGGGTAAACTGTAAGGTTTTCCCTCATGAAAGAAACTTTTTTTAGGGGTGAGGAATGTGGCGATCGCCCACATCACTCATGCTATTCATATTCATGAGCTGATTTGCATGAACCTGTGAGAGGACTGGAGAGGGGGAGTCAGCAGCTACATGAGGCTTGGCAGGAGAAGGAGGAGTCAAATAGGGGCTAGTTAGTCAGAGAGAGAGAGGGAACAGATACTGAGATAGATAGAGTTGGTTAGGAAAATAGGTAGAGAAGGCGGTAATGATATTGCAAGAGAAAAGAAGTATGTACTGAGAGAACTGTTGATGAATTGCTTGTGTATACTGTTGTATTATGTATATCTGAAAAAATTCTGTTATTACTTATTCTGCTTCACTTCAATAAATAAATTCTGTTTCTGTTCACAAGTCAAGTGTTCTGACAAACGTCATTTATATTGTGGATTGAAGTCATCCACTGGTGGCAGTGAGAAGAAAACACGACATGAACCTTTGTGAGGGAAAACAAGCAGGGGCCAGGAGGGTAAATGTCACACCACCTTATGTCAATTATGTTATTGTTATTTTGTGGACTGATAATGGACATTCGTAGCCTGATAGTGTATTCCTTTACTTGTGAAGCATACTCACTTTGTCCATTTTCTGTATGCCGTCCTGGACATGGGTTCATTAATAAATAAGACAGTCTTATAATCTCACTCTTATGTTTGAGGAACTGGACTTGATCCATGAAAGCTCACACAAAATTAGCAATTAGCCCTTAAGATTCCACAACATTTTTCTTTTTCGTTCTTTCATTATTTCTTTTTGTTTCTTGTCTGATAAGCTTTCACAGACTCATGTGGCTACTCCTTTGAAAACTAGTTCCAGAGAGTTTCCTAGCCCTCTATAGAAGGGTTCTAGGGTGCATTATAAGGAGCTATAAGGAGTAAAAATCGTCTCCTTCCTATTATGCTCTTAAAAGCATTTCCATCCGTATATGTACCTTGTTGCATTTTGGCCATTGAAAGAAAATACATACAGTATATGAATGTGTATTTATATGAAAAACTCTACACTGATTTTTAATTTGGTCTTTTAAATATTGATTTTTTGCGGAGCAGACTTATAGGGGAGAACATGCAAAATGACTACTGACTATTCTTGAGACCCAATGACAAATGTACAGTCTGATTCTCACATCTGAAATATAGATTCTCACATCTCAAACTCTGGCTTTAAGAATAAGGCTATTTGTCTTAGATGGATTATGCTGACATAGAAGTTGATCAAAATAACTGTATATCATGCTGCATGTTCCATAGGCCTTAAGACACCTGCAAGCTATGTGCAGTCTGTTAAAGGTAAAGTAAGACTTATGCCAACTCTCTTTCTCTCTCCATAGAAATAATGAACTTGGACATTTCACAAGGGAGACGCCACCTATGACACATCACAACATATGGACTGAAGGTTAGAAGCTGCTCAAAGAACTGACTAGGAATAATGTTCCTTAAACCAGGATGGACTATTTGCCCTGCTAGTTCAGCATTGAGTCTTCTCTGACTGGCTTTTCAGTTTTTCAGAAAGGGAGCTATAAGATTAAGCACCTATATCAGTGTATTCTATGTCCCTTTGCAAGTACAGTGGGAGACTTGATATCAACTGCCTAAAATGCTCTTGATGTCGCTTGTTATTGGGTGAAAATTATCTGATATATTCATTAATTGGACTGTATCTCTGACATAAACAAGTAATAAAAGAAAGACACCACCTGGTGCTTCAACCTTTTTACAGAAGGAGCTGGGGCTTGAGGTTGAGACCTTCTGCATACAATACATATGATATAACACCAAGCTGTGGTCTTTCTTGACTTCTTCAAAGTTAGCTTGAAGCTCCTTCAGGGAGCCCAATCAACTGTTGGCAGTCAAAGTAGACAATTTTTATGTAGATCAAAGGAGACCTCCCTTGGTGGACCTCTATATGTTGTTGAATTATGACTTCCACATTGACTGTGCTGTACTGGTTGGGTCTGATGGAAACCAAAGTCAAAGAACATCTAGAGGTCCACATCCTCCACTTCCCCCACCTCCAATTTGAAGGATTAGTAGCCTGATTTTGTATAAGGCAGCTCAATATGGTTCAAGATGTATATCATCTATTATTTCAATATAATCATGTTTTTCAATAAAACATTATTTAAGTTTTAAAACATGTGAACATTTAAAAACTTCAAAAACTGAATAGGAACCATTTTTAAAACCTGATTTGGATTACAAATCCCACAATCCTTTAACATGGGGCATGGTGGCTAAGGCTTCTGGGAGCTGAAGTGCAAACAAAAAATGTGAAAAACTAAAAATTCCTTGTCCCCTGATTGACGGCTTCATTCTATATTTACTTGGAGGTGAGTCCTACTTATTACACAAAGGGGGCTCTAGAAGGCTGACTGACAGTGACATGAAATTCTGTATTCATGGCTCCATTTTATTTGCTGTCCCTTTTATGCAATCCCCTAGAACTTTTAGTTAGGACCTGTCCAGACAAGGGAATTTGGAGCCATATGATTTGCAATGAAAAGTTTCTTATCTTCAGTGCAATCTATTTTATCTCTCACTTGAACAATCCTTCCATTCACACTGAGATATTTATCTCCCATGAGAATGGTCCACACAAGTCTTTGGATCACTAATTTACTATTGAGCAGGTTTACCCAGACAGCAACAGCAGTAAAGGACAGCCGCAGCACAATGGAAAACCATGGGGTGAAAGTTGGGGAGATGGAAGGCAGGGAAACCCCCTTTTTCCTGCCTTTTTCTTCAGCCCAGTCTCTGCTTGGGCTGTGCTACCTTGTGGGAGTGGGGCCTGTTTTCCCCACCTTTTCCTAGGGCTGTTGTTAAGTGGACCACAGTGCTTTTCATTTTTATTTGTGTTAAATAAAATAAGTGGTATATCAAAGCAGCAGTGCATCAAACTAGTATGGTACAGTGGTGCCTCGCTTAGTGATCGCTCCGTTGGTCGATGAAATCACTTTTCGATGGACTTTTGGCCATCTCTGGAGTGATTGCTTAGAGATGTCCTCTATGGCTAAAATTCACTTTGCGATGATCGCGGGGGAGTGATCATGGCAAAGTGAACTTTTTTAAACAATTGATCGGCGGTTCCAAAATGGCCGTCGCTGTTTTGCCTCGCTGTAGAGGCACCCAAAATGGCTGCTGCTATGGAGGAATTTCGCTTTAAGGTAAGTTTTTAGCCCATAGGAATGTGTTAAACACGTTTTAATATGTTCCTATGGGCTTTTTAAAACCGCTTAGCGATTAAATCACTTAGCGATGTTTTTTCCTCCACGGATTAAAATTGCTAAGTGAGGCACCACTGTATTAGAGTTGTGCTGCATCAGTTAAGGCAGTATAGTAGGACTCCCTTATCCTCAGGATTAGTATCCACGATTACACTTATCCACAGTCTGAAAATATTAAAAATATTAAAAGAAAAAAAAATCCAGAAACGAACTATTTTCACATGTATTACCAGAAATGACCAGTAGAGGGAGACAGAGACTGTGCTATGAATACTTGTAAATAAAGATTACATAGCGTATATGTAATTTATATCTGTGTTTGCTATTATTCAGAGTTTTCATTATCCATGGGGAAACAAACAGCAGTTATGGGGGTCCTACTGTATTTTAAAAAGAAGAGAAAAATAGAAAAGGGAGTTTCTCTATCCTCCTTTTAATGTCACAACTAGAGATGGGGACAACTCACCATTTTGGCGAGTCGTCCCACTTTGTGAGTCATCAAAAGTAAAAGGGAAACCGGCTGCCCTTTGCAAAGATGGTGGCTACGGCTTCATTTAGGGCAGGGAAGTTGTAGCTGCCATCTTTGCAAAAGGGCAGCCTGGATTCCCTTAGCCTGCCTTAATGGAGGGTTCCAGAGAGCCCCATAAATACAAAGGGACAAATATTTAATGGATCGGCGATTTTCCACGAATACTGCAATCCGTTTTTTAAATCACCCTCATTTCTAGTCACAACCCACTTAATACATCACAGTGTCGTGAACTCTAATAATACTGTCCACTGCTCCATTTGGGTGTGAACTAGCTGCACAATTGGACAGGAATGGCCTGAGTTGTACCAAAAAACCAGAAGCCTCTTGTGATGTCGCACAAAGGAGTGGGACAGCTCTTAAAGGGTTTAGGATGGGTCCATCTAAGTAGAAGCACATGTGGATGCCACAATTTGGTTTGAACCAGACTGTACCAACAGCGATCCATATATTTATCTGGACTGGCCTTTATTTAATAGCTGCACATGGTAGTGTGGAAAGTAACTGACATTAAAGTGTAAATGTAAGGATTTGATCTGTATGGTTTCCAAATGTGCAGATGCTGCAGAGAAGAAAAACTGGAATTAACTTCATTTAATCAAATGCAATATATTGTTACAGTGGCCATTTATACATTGGGGTCATCTTGACTATGAATGATTTCTGCTGTCCACCTACTGCTGCTTTATGAGGTTAGTTTTCGTTTTTTTAATATTAAACTGGAAAAAGGCTGCTTATCATGGCAGTCAGGAAGCCTGATCCTATACATGTTTATACAGAAGTTAAAACTAGTGTATTAGTAGGGCTGATCCCATTGCAAATATGTTTCTAAGAGCAATTTGATCTGGGTGCTTTGAGTCCTACTTTGTTCAATTCATGCCCTAGATCCAAACTGAACAGTAAATTAAATACAACTTTCTCATTGGTTTGTATTGGAAAACCAAAAATGTTTTTTTCCCTGTGGTTTTTTTTTTTGCACATACATGGAATTGGGAGACTTTTCATAGACATGAAAAATTTGAGACAGCTAGTTTAGGAAGTTCATGTACATGGCACCTTCAGAGTTTTAATTCCTGCAAGCTCTGGGACTGAAGCGAAATATTGGCTTTGGTTGCATGTCACAGATCCGCCTTCTATCCCCACCACTTGTTCCCATAAACCTTTCCCAGAGTTTGCCCTGCTTTAGCCGTTTGAATTCTGAATACAATGACTGAATAGTCTCTGCTTTTTCCTGGAAACAAATCTAATCTTTCTGCTTTGGTCCAGACTACATACAAATTAGTCTGGATCTTGCTGATTGGGTTCAGGATTCTGGATTTGGCCCAAACCAATGCACAAGTCTAATGAATATATGCCCTCATTCCCCCTTTTGCAGCGAGGCTGTTGGTCCCTTCACTATCTACTGTCAAGAGGTAAGAGGGATGAGCTAAATGCCTCCTTCCTACATCGCTGCAATCCTGAGCCCATCTTCTTAACTCAGTTGCCAGAGTTATATACAATTATAGGACCTTTAATTATAAATAGCTTCTGAATACCAAAACAAAACAGACAAACAACAAGAAGAAATACCCTCATCCCTACTCAAAATAAACCCAAAATCAGAAACTGGTAAATCGTATTATGGGGCTTCTTAAATTCAGTACAAAATATGGTGTTAGTATGTTTTTAATCCAGTATGTTTCAATCCCTGTTTCTCACAGTTGCCTTTAAACTTCATAAAACGGTGAGAAAATCTGTTCGAGGATCATCCGTGGCTGGCTCAGTCTGAATGTCATGATAGGCAGAAAGAGATTAGGTGTATTAGGATTCCTTTTCCCATCTCTTTCGGGTCGCTTGATCTTTCTAGAGAAAACTTATTTGAATACTGACTTGTTTAAAATGAATTCAAGCTGGAATAATGTGTGCATGTTCTCCTCTATGACTAATGTCGTTTCAGAAATGCGAGCAGTCACTTCCTCAAGGCCTCTAAACACAGAAGAAGACCAAGAAAGAAGCATGTGCTCAGTTAATGTAGTTGAGTGAGTTTTTTTCCCTTTTTTGCCAAGCCAAGAAGAGAGATGGTTACAAGATGATCATGTGAGTCTCAGGTTTACAGAGGTTTGCATAAGAAAAGAAGAAAAGACATTTTGTAGATTGCTTCTCATGTTTGGAGACTTGCCACTGTCAACGGTGCTACAATGGCCTGGTTTAAAGCCTCAGCAACATTTGCAATGAAAATATTTGGACTAAAAAATTTGGAGAGTTTCCTTGCTTTGAAATTGTTTGTCATGCTGTACCAGTGTTGACCTGCAGCCCTTCTTTTTACTGAATTTCCGAATTAAACAGCAACTACTGACACTTTGAATTCTTGAATCTGCAAAGTTTGTTAAGTCAGCGCCAGCTCTGTAGCAAATTTAGGCAAAGCAGGAAACCTGTAGGAAAGACTTTACTTCACTGTCAATGCAAGCAGCCAACTCCTTCCCCAGATAAACTTCTCAACATCCCACTCCTTTTTCTAAGGTCATGGATCCTGAACATAGCCAGAAGAGCACAAAGAAGGGTGAGGAAGGTCCAAGGAAGAGGCTTGTAAAACGACAGGCTATCCAAGGTAGTATTTCATCTGTGGGTACATATCTGAGCAGCTCTGCTCCTTTGCCAGGCTCCCCCCTGCAAGACGTTGCCTCACAGCAGCATTTTTCAAGGGAAGACATCCAGGAGAAACCAGGACAAGTCCAAACTAAGCATTCCTCTTTTGAACACCCATCCCATGTTACTCAGCTTCAGCAGCACTCCCTATCACCAGCATATATGCCTCCTCGGAAACCAGAACATGTCCATGAAGGGTCCACATGGCAACTGGTTGATCCAGCAAGAGCTGTCCCTTCTGGGTCATTTTCATCCTCTGGGCTTCATTCCAGTCATAGCCAGACCTTACCATCCCGGTCCTCCATAGTTTCTGAAGAGGACATGCCCTCTGTCCAAAAGGTCTATGTAGCGCGTAGTTCACAGGTTTCCTTAAAACCCTCTGAAGAAGGACACAAGAAAGAAAAGAAGCCACAGAAACCAGGCAAATACATTTGCCAGTATTGTAGCCGGCCTTGCGCCAAGCCAAGTGTCCTCCAGAAACACATCCGATCTCATACAGGAGAAAGACCCTATCCATGTGTTCCATGTGGCTTTTCCTTTAAAACCAAGAGCAATTTGTATAAGCACCGAAAGTCACATGCACACCGAATCAAAGCTGGTTTGTCTTCAGGGACTGGAACAGAATTGTATCCTTCCAGCTTGGAAATGGAGAAGATGGGTGGAGAGGAATTTGAAGAACCTACTGAAGGAGAAAGCACAGATTCTGAAGAGGAGACAAGGACAACATCGAGTCACCTAGTAGAACTGTCACCCAGGCAAAAGCAAACAATGTTGTATGGGGCAGGAAGCCAAGGCTCTAGTAAAGAAAGTTCCTCTTTCTCCCATTCTAGCACATCTCAGTCTCTTGATGACCCCAGCCAGTTTTTAGAGACAGCTCCGGAACATACTCAAAGTCATAAATTGGAGGAAACTCATACCATTAAACAGAAGCTTGCTCTCCGGCTAAGTGAAAGAAAAAAGGTAATTGAAGAGCAGGCTTTTCTTAGCCCTGGTAGTAAAGGGAGTACAGAATCAGGCTATTTCTCAAGATCAGAGAGTGCTGAACAACAAATCAGCCCACCAAACACAAATGCCAAATCTTATGCAGAAATTATTTTTGGTAAGTGTGGGAGAATCGGCCAACGGACTACCATGTTAACAGGAGCCACCACCCAAGAATTTCCACAGGTTTCCTCTGAAGAAAAACTGAGCACCGGTCCCTTGTCTGTGCCTAGAACACAGGTTATTGAACATATCACCAAGCTGATTACAATTAATGAAGCTGTTGTTGATACAAGTGAAATAGATAGTGTGAAACCTAGGAGAAGTTCTTTGTCCAGACGAAGCAGCATTGAATCTCCAAAATCAGGTGCATACAGAGAACCTTTTCAATTAGAAACCAAACCTGGTTCTGGTAGCCAAGTTGAGTCATCAAAGTTGATGTCATCTCATGTTGAAAAAATGAAGCCTGAACAATCATGGTTATCTCTCCAGCAATCCCACAGTGCCACAGAGACAGTGCCTCTCCTAAGAAGCCAATCTATGCCTTCAGCTGCAAGTACTATGAGTTCTCCTCATACTTTTAGAGGTAGCTATTCTTTTGATGACCATGTTGCAGGATCAGAGGTCTTAAGTCGTAGTCAGGTGTCTTCCCATCCAAGAATGCTAAAACGACAGCCTGCCATAGAGCTACCATTGGGGATGGAGTATAGCTCAGAAGAGGTGAGCAGCACAGCAAGCAAAGAAAGCGTTGCCAAACCAACTGAGGAACAAGAAAGCAAGGAGACCGAGCTTACCAAAAAGTCCAGGAAGGGCACGAAAATGAAAGGGTTTATGTATGAGTGTAACATTTGTGGTGCTCGATACAAGAAAAGAGACAATTATGAAGCCCACAAAAAATATTATTGTTCTGAACTCCAGGTCTCCAAGCCTCGATCTTCCAGTTCTCGTACCTCATCAGAGGTGGAAAAAAGTTTCATGGAAACTCATCCTTGGCCGCAGAGGATGCATTATAAGCTGGGAAGTAGTTTAGAACTTACACCGCTGAGGAAAAGGCGTAAAGAAAAAAGCCTTGGTGATGAGGAGGACCCCACAGCTTTTGAGATGGGTGAACCATCCTCCTCTAGTGCTGGGCCAGCCACTCAGGGTACTGGCTTCAAATCCACTGTTGTGGCCTTGACTTTAGCCTCTCAGTCCATTAAGCCACCAGCAGAGCCCAGTCAATCTGTGCCGTTTTCCAATATCGGTGTAAGTTTTCATCCTAGAACTGCAAAACCCTCTTTTAGTACTGAAAGCAAGGAATGGAGAACAACTTCAAAGGAGATCTCTGTCATCCAGCACACCAGCTCCTTTGAGAAATCTGAATCCCTTGAACAACTGAGTGGTTTGGAAGGAGAGGAGAAGTTACTGTTGCCATATGGATCTCATCCCGCAGTGCAACATGGCCGGACATCTCATTCCCTGCAGCCAAAGCTTGTGCGTCAACCCAATATCCAAGTTCCTGAGATTCTGGTCACTGAGGAACCTGACAGACCAGAAATGGAACCTGAACCTCCTCCCAAAGAGCCAGAAAAGACTGAGGAATTCCAGTGGCCTCAGAGAAGTCAGTCTCTCTCTCAACTCCCGGCAGAGAAACTGCCACCCAAAAAGAAGAGGCTACGGCTAGCAGAAATGGCCCAGTCTTCTGGAGACAGTTTTGAATCAATCAGAAGCCCAAGTCTAGAAAGCAGCATCTCCCACGCTTCCAGCTGTTCAACTTCGTTTGATCGAGAGGAAGCCACTTCCCAGCCTTCTGACACCCCTACGAAGCCTCTCAGTATACCACATATGCTAACAGTACCAAGCCACCACCAACATCAGCATCCTTCTCGAGAAATGCGGAGATCTGCTTCGGAGCAGACGCCCAATGTCTCTCCCTCTTCTACGATGTCAGAGACCCGCAGCAAATCCTTTGATTATGGGAGCCTATCCTCCTCCTCTCCTGCTACGACCCATCCTCCAACGACATCAGCACCGCAGGAGAGGAGGAAATGTTTTTTGGTTCGACAGGCATCTCTCGCCAGGCATCCAGAGCATGAACCAGACCCACCCCCCAAAGAGGGGACAGAAACTGAAGAGTCCATACACACTTCAGGCAAATCTCCTACTGGGAGCCCTCCCCAGCAACAGCCACCTTCACCTTCCTCCTCTTCACCTCACAGAAGCTATTCATATGATAAGGGTCAGCCGAAAGATTGTCCTGAGCCCTTGTATCCCCATATCTACACTGAAGCTCTGCAACTGTTCCATCACTCTACACCACAGTTAACACTTCACGAAAAGCAGTACCTGACGCCACATATCTCCCTTTTGCCCTTCCAATCAGGACACTCAGTAGAGCTCTTTTCCACCCAGGCTGTGGCAGACCTCTTCTCTGCTCAATATTCGATCCCACCGATACCTCACTCCATATTTCAGAATGCAGCTTTCCCTCTGCAAGATGCTTTGCTCCACCCGGGGCAGCTTCACCTTACTCCTCAACTGATGTCACACTCAGCTGATGTGGGAATCCGGCAGAGTCCATCCCTTGTCCCTCTACATTATCCAGGCTCTCCACCACTTCCTTCTGCATTTTTTCTCCCTCTTCATTCCCAAATTGCTCTGCAGTTGCCAAGTGACATTGGGGTCCATTTGCCCCAACTGAAATCCAGCCTCTCTCCACCAACAGGAAGCCCAAGCTTCTCCTCATCTATAGACTACAGCTCTGAGAGCCCGTTGCATCTTCTGACCCGACCAAGCTCTCCTTCTGTCTCAATTTCTCAATTGGTGATGCCTGCACGGCAAGAGCCGATTGTGTCACTCGTTGTCCCCGTTCGCATTCAGACTAACATGCCCTCCTATGGGAGCGCAATGTACACCACTCTTTCTCAAATCCTGGCCACCCAATCCCACTGCAGCGCCTCTTCCATCATCTTGCCAAAATTTGATGATTATCAGACCAAGGGTACCTTGGTCTGCACTGCAAATGTTCATGGAATTGGTCTTGATTTGGCACAGATGATCACTGAAGAACAGAAATCCTTGTTCCAGACCCCGTATCTGAGGCTGCCATTATCATTGTCGGAAAAGAAAAGTTACATTCCCCTGGTCTGTACTTCTGAAAGTATCTTAGGTTATGAAGGACTTCCCCCACTGACTGTAGGTGGAAGCAAGCGGATGTTGTCTCCAGCTGGGAGCTTGGAACTCACTATGGAAAGTCAGCAGCAAAAAAGGGTGAAGGAAGAAGAATTATCTGAAACAGAGGAAAAACTGGATTTAGTCATGGCATCCAGTGCAGAAGAGGAAGGGAAGACACTTAACCAAAGGAAAGCCAAGGCAGAAATGTCCCCTGATGTCTCACCTGAAACCTCTGACCCACAAGATGTCGAGGATGCTCTACAGCCAGCCCTCTCACACGCTGAGACCTTGAACTTTGAAGTGCAAGAGCAATACAAGCAGATCCAAAGTAAGGACTCTTCACAGATGGTGAAGAAGGAAGATTCCAAAGATCCACTGGAACCACCCACAGGAAGCTCTCCAAGCTCTGCACTTCCTTCTGAGGCTCCTCAAAGTTCAAAGAAGTCTCAAGACAGTATAGACATTAAGAAGGTACTTCAGTTCCCCAGTCTCCATACAACTACTAGTGTCAGTTGGTGCTATTTAAATTATATAAAGCCAAATCACATTCAGCAAGTTGACCGAAGGTCCTCAGTGTACACCAGCTGGTGCATTAGCCTGTATAATCCCAATCTTCCTGGTGTATCCACGAAAGCTGCTCTCTCACTCCTGTGCTCCAAGCAAAACGTGAGCAAGGAAACCTACACCATGGCAGCTGCTCCCCGTCCAGAAGCAGGAAAGCTTGTACCCTCAAGTTCCAGGAATCCAAAAATGTCTGAGGTAAGGAAATATGATTTTTCTTTTTTCCTCACCTGTTTAATGGATAAGAATTTTATATTTTATGCTTTTATGAAGCAGTTCTCTACAAGCATTCTCAGGCTGGTGAACATTTTCTCACCTGTGGGACTCTTTTAAGCAATGCTAGGCAACTTGTGGTCCTTCGGAAATTGTTGGACTGGAACGCCTATCATCCTTAGTCAGGATAGGCAGTGGTGAGGTATGATAGGAGTTGTTGTCCAACAAGATCAGGAGGGCCACATGTTGCCTATTCTTATTAGAAAATCATGTTAGCTAAAAATGATTTGCTGCTGAGAAATTTAGAACAGTGGCTCCCAGCCTGGGGTTCTCAGATGTTCTTGGACTACAACTCCCAGAAATCCTGGCCAGCACAAGTAATTGTGAAGGTTCCTGGGACTTTTAGTTCAAAAATATCTGAGGACCCAAGGTTGGAATGTACTGATTTAGAGGAATAGATATGTGGGGCTACTGAGATTTGGCCATGTTATAGCCCGGGATAACACAATGATATACCTTCCTAGTTGCCTTGCCAAGGGTGTGTAAATGCACAGCCCTGTCCATATTGTGAAATATGAAAGGGAATTACATCAGAGGTCTTGCATCTGATGATACATCACACAAAAAAGATCCATATACCCATCCTATGCTTTTTCCAAGGCAGCAAGGGCATCTTTGTATGCAATTGGTTCCATGTATATGGGCTAATACATGGTCTTCCTATGCAGTAACATTGGTCAGTAAAATTAAACATCTGATAAGAGTTGTTTTAGCAAAAAGCAAGCTTCTCTAGCTCCTGATTTCACGAAAAAAATCATGCATATTTTCCAGTGCTCTATATGTATTAAAGAGGCTGAGGCTAAATCACTGCCCACCAAATGAATTTTGAGAATACCCATTAAGAGTAGCTTGTCTTATAAGACCTTACCCCCATGGCTTCTTTGAATGTTGTTGAAGAAGCCAGGTGCTAAGACATATGCTCTTATGCATGGGTTTACTTAAATTGTGTAAAATATAAATCTAATGGCCAACATCCGATTGAATGTTATGCTGGCCTAACAGAATTAACATAAATCTCATTGGTGAGTTGGCATAAATCAAGAATGTAGTATAGACATTTGTTGTTGTGAACCCAGTTTTGGAGATCAGCAATATAATGACAAATGTCTGTGCCAATGTTTTAACTTGTGGTAATTTGCCAGTGAGATTTATGCCTCTTGCATTATGCAGAGGGCATAAGTAACTGGATATGTCAGTTACCTTAGTATTTCTAGCCAGAATAGACCTGGTAAATCAATGATGAATGATGAGACAACATGTATGTAAATCCTATAGTTGGGACTGCTAGTTGGATTATTTGAAGATCTAGGATGTCTTTGGTTTGCAGATCACAGCTGTTTCACATCATCATTATGTTCATTGTTGAAAATTGGGTGGTTACTGGGTGGCCACTGTCACCTTCTAGTGATACTTCTCCATAATTAGCTAGGCTAGTCCTCAGTTGGCAGATATAGAGACTGATTTAGATACAGGATAAGGTAATAGCTTATGAACTTCATTACACTGGCAGGAGTTATCATGCTGTCCAACATTCTCTCCAAGCTGCATGGGCATGCAGTGCTGCATTGGGCAACACAGCCAAGGTAGTGCTGCCACCTATTTGCTTCCTGGTTGTAGTTGGAACCCCATATGTGGTGGGCAGAGCTCCCACCCAACACTCCAGAAAATTAGAGGGGACATTGCTGTTGTCATTCTTTTGGGAACCTCCACCTTAGCTTACTATATGGGCACCATGTGGAATGACCCTTGGAAATTTCCCAACTTAACACACACCTGACCTCCCTATCTTCTAAGATGAATGGGCCCAAATGGGCCTTCTTGTATTCCTTTGGATGACCAGTAGAAAAGAGGTGTTATATTTGTGTTTCTGTCACACAGTGCAACACTGAAGGTTGGTAAAGAGGACCAAGAAGGTGTCTCAGTTGTTTGATGTTAATACCACGGACTTGTTGGTATTGAAAGTCTTTGATAGGTGTCCAGATCCAATATAGCATGCTGTTTCATAGCGCTGCACACAGCATATATCAGTCTGGTGTAGACATAATACAATTGATGGAGTCATGCTAGAAATCACAGCATTTCATGACTGCCCTGGAGAAAAGCCCTGTGTTTTGGTTGAAGATGATGTGAAGTGCTTACCAGTGAGATGAAAGAAAGCTGAATACTTAGAACCACCTGGGGGGCAGTGAGAGAGTGGTGTTTTTTGGCACGATTTGGAGGTAATCATTTGCTGGATTGGGTAACTTGAAAGGATGCTAAAAATATTGCTCCAGGAAAAATGTTTTAGATGAGTTCCAGACTGTATGGGGTAACAGTTCCAAATATTTTTACCCAGCCTGAAATGTGACTTAGTTTCCTTCCCTGTTCTGTAAAAACCATTATGTTATGACCCATTTGACAACAGAAATTCCTGGTTACCCCTTTTTATCTTTCGCTATGTCACTAGCTGGTTGTAAAGATTTGAGTCTTAGTGCCAAAATATATGCTGGGTCTGTGAGAAATTCCTGGTTACCCCTTTTTATCTTTCACTATGTCACTAGCTGGTTGTAAAGATTAGAGAGTGCCAAAATATATGCTGGGTCTGTGGATGGGATGCAGCCATTTATCTATCAGGCAAAGCTGTAATCAGGAACAAAGTCAATGGAAATCTGTAAGAGGCCCCAATTTGCAGATGGACAGCTGAAGGGTCTATGCTAAAACTGGGAAGTAGATAGCCTCTGTGTTTGTAAAATACAAATGTTTCTTGTTTTCCCACCCAGTAAGGCTAAATGTCTTCTCCCCATGCAAGCTTAACCCCTACCATGTTCTCTGCTCTTCAGATTTTCACTGTTAACAAACACCCATTTCAAGATACAAAGCTACCAAATTACAGGGCAATCCTAACACAAAGATATGCTGACTATTGGGGTTTAGAATGAGGCAGAAGCTTCTCCTGTGGTAGAACCCTCTTCTGCCAGTTTATCTCAAAAGATTTGCTGACAGAGCAGTCTGGTGGCAGATCGCCTCTGTTGGCTGCCTGAGGTCTCCAAAAGGAGAGTCAAAAAGTGACGGAGAAAAAGCGAAGTAAAGCAAGGGAAGGACTGATTGATCTCTGATCCAAGGTATTATCAGCCCAGGGATACAGCAGCAATAAAAGCAGACATTCTGGCTTTCAGGTTGAGAGTAGCCCTAAATAAATTCCTGCATTCTTAGGGTGAGCAAGGTTTTTGTTCGGCACAGGAGTGTTGGTTCAGCTGCCCCTTGGCCGCTTTGGATTCTACTCTCAGGCTTCACATAATTTTGTGTTCATGTTAACTTTGTAGCCAGTAGTGAAAGTGGCTTCTGGCTTTTTCTTTCTCTGCAAGAATCTAACTTAAGGTTTCTGTGTTCAGCAACAATCCTTCTGAAGAATAATAAACCACCGCTCTGATTTTTTGGGGGAGATAGGTTCATCTGCCTTCACTCCTTCCTAATGAAGGTCCAAAAGATGTCATGAAAACTGATCATGAAGAGGAGAAAAGGGGAAAAGGTGAAGATGACAATCTCGTATCCAAACGAGGGGAACCAGCTAGGATCAAGATCTTTGAAGGAGGGTGAGTTGCATTGTGCCCATCATACACAGTGTCTGCTGATAGAAAGCTTTCCTTTTAAAAGCAACTCATTACTAATAATAAATAAATAAATACATCAATCAATCAATCAATCAATCCTATCTGGACTCCCTACTGGCTTTAATCAGACCTAGCCTTCCATTGCTTCCTCTTCTGATTCAATCCATTACCCAAGTGTTTTCTCTTGAATCTAGGGATCTTATACATCAGCTAAGCAGCATTTAGTCTCATCTATGTATCTATGTCTCAGTAGTTTGCCTATTGAAAGAGGACTGCTTTGAGAAGGTCTGCTGTCTCACCTAGCTTTCCTTGAGTCTTTAGTTTGGATTGAATTCTCAGTAGAGGATGACCAGCCAGTATTTTCTGACTTTAGAGAGGCTGTAATACAGTATTAGGTCGCTAGTTGAATATGTGAGCACCAAACCTTTATACAAACGTATGCAACAGCTTTTGAGTTGAATCACTTCCATTAGACTGAACTCTGGCTTACAGCCCTTCCCTCTGACCCACAGACCGTAAACTTGTGCCATCTTTTCCTGCACATATTTATGTACTTATTTAAAATATTTTTACCTTGCCTTTCTCTTTAAAAGGATTTAAGGTGTTTGCCCAGTTGTTTCTGTACATAAGCTCAGTTCTCTGGATTGCAGCACTACATGTTTTAATCACTTAACGGCCAGAAGTTAATTTTAAACACTACTCCCAGTCATTCTAGTCATACAATATCTTGTGGTTATTTCCACCTGGATTTTTTAAAGTTTTTGGTGGTACTTTCATTCTTCTTCGTGGCTTCTGTGGGTGATTTGCGCCTGCACGGAGCCTCATCAGAAGATTCTAGAGCTTCTGTGGCAGCAATAAACACATTAGAATATGCCCCTCCCCACCCATATAAGTACCTTGGCACCAAGCGTCCCCTTTCTTTCAACCACCCCATTGAAAGCCTCATAATTCTGCTTGTGTCAGTAAAAGAGAAAGGGAGCTTACTCTTGATTCCTTCCTGTTATCAATCTTTTTTCTTTTAAACTATAAGATCAAACTCATTATCATCAGAGGTTTTCCTTCCCCCCTCGCTCGGCCTCCGGCCGCAGCACCCCCCCTTCAATCATCGGTTTTTCTCCTCAATTATTTTCTCCTATTCATGGCCCCTTTGGGCCCGTTTAAGCACTGCCTTGTCTGTGATAATAAGATCCCACTTTCTGACAGACATGCTAAGTGCCTTTTCTGTTTGGGAGAATGACATTAAACTTACTCCTGTACCCATTGCAAAAATTTTAAGCACAGAGTTCTTTGATCTCGCTTCTCGGGGCTAAAACTCTGACTTTGGGAACCAAAGCAATGGAAAAAGCCATTACTGAATCATCGAAACAACGTCCATCGGCTACACCAGCTCATTCCGATTCTCCATCTGCATCGTCTAAGACCTCGAAGACATGCAAATCAAAACCCTCGATATCAAAGTCCTGGACTTCAAAAACAACTTCTAAACATCAGAGACCTACTTAAATTGCTCCGACTCCAGAGCCTGTTCCTCCTAACGAGCCTACAGACATCCCACCATAACCACAACAACTCTCTGAATCAATTTTGGTCGGATCTCCCTCAGATGATGACAGACTTCCGTCCCAACAACCCTGTTCTCAGTCTCCAGAATGGGATGATAGAGTTGCCCGACTAACATCCTCTCCTCCCAGTCCACAACCTTCCATTGCTTCCAGCAATCCTTCGGTTATTCCAATGCCTGAGGATTACCATCCTGAATGGCTCGACACCATTCCATATTTGATGCCCTGGGATCACCCACTGATGCCTAACCAGAACCGTCAACATCAACAATTTCGACGGCTCGCTTCATCACATGTCGTTCAAACCCATGCTGAGCATGCACAACAGGTTGCCATTTGCCCTGACCAATGCTCTGCTTGACAAACTGCACCAACTACTCGACCAGGTGTTTCATCCAGTTCAATAATACCATCTAGTAGTTGGCCTACCTCTCGACAACCATCGAAGTGGCCACATCACCGAGAGGTGGCTATACCTCAGCCTGCTCCCCACTTGGTATTGAAAAAACTTCGGATGGTCGAGCAGATTTCATCCACACATGAGGCTTTGGCAACCCCAGCCTCCTGATGCTTTCCTACTACAATAGATGATAGAAATTACTCTTCACACACGACATCACCAGCGTCCATTTATTCTACTGCTATGCCATCACATCAGCAACCTCCGTTTCGACATCACAGAGACACAGGCTCTGATATTGACAATCCTCGATATCCATCCTGGTCCATGGACACTCACTCCATTCCCTTACATCAACACAGTTCCCGTCCTCCGGTAAATCCAAGTCATCGACCCCGGCACTGTTACAACACCGAGCTCAACACCGAGGTCCATTCCTACTGATCAAGGTCCATCGACGCTCAACCACCATCTTTCAATGTCGATGATCCTCAACATCACAGATGTCCGTGGACATGCCACCTCCATCTTTTCCGACTCATAACCAGCAATACTACGAGACTCAGCCTCTCGTCACCAAAGTGGATCGACAGTCCGTCGACTCCAGACGTGACCTCGATGGCTCTGCCCATGGATCTCGGCCACAGATTCCATCCGTGTTACTTACCTCTCCAGAGTCGGACATTGTCAATACCGACCCGCCATCACCGGCAGAGGATTTCCAGGCCTATGCCCAACTTATGATTCGCATGGCTAAATCCCTTGATCTGCAAGTCCACCAATCATCAACAGAACCAGCCGATCATCTATATGATCTGATCTCTTTCACCCAAATTCCAACATCAAAATCAAGCATATTTCATCCAAATGTATAGCTAAAAGGAAAAAAATACTAGTGACTCAGCCTCCCTGCATGTTTTAATTCAAGTATTCCTACCATTTTAACACCCAAACATGCCCTTTTAACAAAGTACAATTTGTATTGTTGCTGGTGTTGAAGAAATAGGCAAGCTGTTGGTTTTGATGTTTCTTTAAAAAGGCTGTGTGAGAGAGAGCATTGTTGTAATGTCGGAGGTCTGGAGAGCCCTTGGAACTGTTGAGCCTTCAGAACAAGTATCTCTGCAGTCCCAGAGCTAAGCCTTTGGTGGATGTGCACAGTCCAGCTAGGTCAGAATTTGATCATACTCTGTGTGAGAGCATGTGTACACGTGGTAGGTTTGTGGTCTTTAATCAATGAAACATCTTGCTTCACAAATTAAAATACTTCTGATTAATTTTTAAAGTGGCCTTGATTAATTGAACAGTAGTAAAAATCCAGACATACAACTCTTAATACAGGCACACCTAAACTCTGCTATGTTAGAAGAGGCAATAATCCTTCTCTGTTACACAGAAGGGATGACTTTTCTGAGATCATACCTACTATAGGACGTAACTGAATCATCCACATTCCACAACATGTGCCTTTGGGCTGATTCAGGAACTCCTTTGTTTTCTTAAATCAGGAAGACTGTGTAGTTGAGCCTGAAGCTCCACTACACATCTATGGAAACAGAGACACAGAATTCGAGGAGATGGAGATACGTAAACAGAGGAGATGGGGGGCTTATGGAAAAGCTACAAACATTAGCACTTCCTATTTCTTATTAACCTGAGCTGATTGATTGAACTTTCTTTCTGAGTAGATAGATGTGCAAAAAGCTGTGGATTTCACCAGTAACCCTGAAACTCTTGCCTCTTCTTCTGAAATTCAGTACACAATAAGGTGTGACTTAAGACTGCTGTGGAAATCTGCAGTCCTTGATTGTCATACCTGGATCTGAAGATTTCTCATGGTCATGGGTACAAGAGTGTGTTGCTTATATGTATTTCCTCCCTTACCCCAAGGAGATCCAAGGTGTATGTAAACTCTAAACCCCAAACCACAACTAGCACATGTCTGTTACTGAGCACTACTTGAATGCTGAGTAGCTTCCTTGGTGAATCATCCTTGGTGAATGATTGTCTAAGGCAGTCACCTTAAGTTTTGGTATATATTTTGAGGAAATGCAAATGCACAAAATTTATATCAAAATATATAACCCAACCCATCCTTCAGTGCTTCTGATGCTGGCAGTAAGTAGCATTGGCTAAAACTCTTTCCAACCTTGGAGAAAGTCAAAGCTTGGAGAAATTAATATATATATATATCCAAGATCATTCCTCATGAGAATATGTGTCCTGTAAAACTGGCCCGTCTTTGCTTATTTAATGTAAAGGAGGAAAGCAATTGAACTGTAATAGGGATAGTGTTGAGGGCGCACTGTTTCTCATTGTGGCTTTGGGCATATGGTTTTTCTGAGGGCTCTAACCTTATTCCCTATATTATTCAAAATTTACACAAAGCTTCTGGGAAAGGTTGTTCAAACCTCTGGTGTGATGTGGCACTGATAGGCAGATGATACCCAACTCTGTCACTCTTTGTTGCCTAACACTGAAGGAGCAACCAGGACTCTTAGACTCCATCTAAGCTTGATAATGGGTGGAATGAGGGTGAATATTTAGAAATAAAATCCTGACAAGATGGAAGTGGCACTGGTCAGTAGAAAAATCAGGCTCGGGGACTGGAATTTACTCTGTTCTAGAAGAGGTTGCACTCACCTTAAAAGGTCAGGTTCATAATCTAGGGGTATTTCCTTGTTCTGTCTTTAGACTTCTAGGTGGCAGCAGTGACTTTGAGTGCCATTGCATAATTTCACTTAGGGCATCATCTGCAACCTTCTTTAATTCAACCGGACTTAGTAGAAGTAATCTATGCCTTAGTTACACCATATTTTGAGTACTGCAATGCACTCTACATGGGGCTAGCCTTGCAAAAGGTCTGCAATGTTCATTTCACTTCTGCTGTGCCTTTCTCCCTTGAGGAACTCAATATGGCTCACAGGATATGCTTTTTAAGATGTTTCTTCTAAAAAGCAATGGCCAAAATCCTGTTGCATAATGTAAGCAATGTCATAAGTTTTAGTCCATTTGTCCCTAGT